GGGAAAGACTCCTGTAGTGTGCAAAAGGCCCTGGAGACAAGCAATCCTCTTCCCTGCAGAGAGGGCTCACTAAATGTAAAAATAAGAATGGGCTCCAATTCACTAAGCGCCAGCATGTGCTACTGCAGGGTCATTTGTGCCAAACGGCACACCCGGCTTCTTCTTAGTACTAACCAGTAGCAGCCCACCACCCAGCTTTGTGCTGAAAACCACTGATCTGTGTCTTCTCCCTCTCTTCCCTTTCCGCTTCCTCCTTATTACAAGCTTCTGCATCATGAGATTTTCTTAACTACTGTTACAATAGAGTGAACAAGGGCAAAAAGAGAAGAAAGAAGCTGGCAGAGGGGAGGGGTGGGGGGAGGGGCAAAGTAGGTGAAGAGGTACAAACTTCCAGTTATAAAATAAATAAGGCATAGGGATGCAATGTACAGCATAGGGAATATAGTCAATAATACTGTAATAACTTTGTATAGTGACAGATGGAAACTAGACTTATCCTTATTTTGTAGTGTATAAATATATCAAATCACTATGTTGTATACCTGAAACTAATTTAATATTGTAAGTCAGCGATTTTTCAATTAAAAAAAAAAAAAAGAGGAAGCTGACAGAAAACTTTTTATTTTATTTCCTGCTAACAGGCCTGGGGGATGACATGGTTAGGACATAGTTAATAGATCATTATGAATAAAACCATGTTTTTTAGTGTGCATAGAATTTCCCTGACTGGAACAAAGGCTTGGCTCCATAATTAGAATTTTTTTTTCTTTTCGGTATGCGGGCCTCGTACTGTTGTGGCCTCTCCCGTTGCGGAGCAGGCTCTGGACACGCAGGCTCAGCGGCCATGGCTCACGGGCCCAGCCGCTCCGCAGCATGTGGGATCTTCCCGGACCAGGGCACGAACCCGTGTCTCCTGCATCGGCAGGCGGACTCTCAACCACTGCGCCACCAGGGAAGCCCCATAATTAGAATTTTTTAACACTTCAGAAGACCCAATTCTAAGTTCAACTTAAATTGCACTCCCAAATGAAAATATACAACACAAGAAAGTTATTTTGGATTGTTTTTTAAATGGTAGGACTGAAGTGTTTACCTCGCTTCACAATACGTTTTTCAAATTTCACCTGCCCTAGTAAAACCAAAGAAGCCATTCGGGCTTCCCTGGTGGCGCAGTGGTTGAGAGTCCGCCTGCTGATGCAGGGGACACCGGCTCGTGCCCCGGGCCGGGAAGATCCCACAAGCCGTGGAGAGGCTGGGCCCGTGGGCCATGGCCGCTGAACCTGCGCGTCTGGAGCCTGTGCTCTGCAATGGGAGAGGCCCCAGCAGCGAGAGGCCCGTGTACCGCAAAAAAGAAGCCATTCAATTTTGCTTGTTTTCATGGTGCATTCCAGTAACGGATCACTCAGCAGATTCAGAGCAGTGTGATCAGGCAAAATTTTCAGCATACTTGACACAAAAGCTTTGTTTAAGCTCCATAAAAACTCATTTTTGATCTTAAAGAAGGAAAATGAAGAGCCAAGATTGACAGCTTTCCTTTTCTGCAAGAGATTCCTTTTACTGGGCTGATATACTTCTGATTTTCCTGAAATACTTGGTTTTCTCAGCATGCCCCTCCTCATTCCTTGCTTTCTCCCACTTAGCATCTCTCCTGCACTCATGCACTGTGGCAGGACTGCAAACCAGCCCCCACTTGAGAGTGCTATCTGAGAAGATGCAGCAGAACCGAAGGCGCACATACACAGCGCTTCCTCTCCTAGGCAGACACACATGTGCAGAGAAGAAAGTAAAAAAAAAAGTTTACTGTCCCACTGGGTATGCTGCAAAATAATTGGAAACAACCTAAATTGTCATCAGCTAGAGAATAAACGGGTATATTCATACTCTAAAACATTACATAGCAGTTAAAAATGAATGTACTAAAATTGTATTTATCAACATGAATATAACATAAGAATAAAAGTCTAATACAAGATGGGATGTGCTCAGGGCCTCGGTTATAGCTGTAATGTTCTATTTCTTTAAGATCTGAAACAAACATAATATGAAGTTTTGTGGTCGGTGCATAGTCATTACATTAATCTTTATCCTTGCTTGTTTTAAATGGGTTACAATTAAAAAACAAA